TGGAGGCGGCCGGTTGGGCGGAGCGACGGAGGGCCTACCTGGAGGGCACGTGCGTGGAGTGGCTCCGCAGATACCTGGAGAACGGGAAGGAGACGCTGCAGCGCGCAGGTGCGAGGGCCCGCGGGGCAGCTCCCATCTCCTGCACATGTCCCCGCTCGCCTCCCACACGGAGGGGAGGGAAATGGGACCGACGCTAGAGTGTCGCCCTCCCTGTGGTCCAGAGGGGAAGAATCCTCACGGGTTTCCAGACCTGGTACGGACAGTGACTCTGAGGGCAGCCCTTCTCCCAGGACAGTTAAGGGATGAGTCTCTCCAAGGCTGGAGAAGACAGTCCCTGAAATACTGATCAGCGGTTCCCTTTGACCCCTGAGGCAGCCTTGGGCACCATGGCTTTCTCAGACTTTGTTCTCTGCCTCACACTCAGTATGTTTGGAGGTCTGATCCCAGCTTTTCTGAGTCTCTTGGCCTCCACGCAGGTCAGGACCAGAAGTGCCTGTTCTCCCCTTGAGTGACCTAGAGCCTCCTACCCCGGAGTTCTGTCTTACCCTGATTCTAGAACTTTCCAAACAGCAGGAGATTATCCCAGATATATCTAGGTATATCTAGGCTTTATATCCCAGATATATCACCCCAATTGCCCTGTCCATTCTCAGGATGGTCACATGAGCGCGACTGGAGTGTCCCATGAGGGATGCCAAAGCTCTTAATTTTCCAACCCTTCCCCTCAGACCCCCCAAAGATACGTGTGACCCACCACTCCATCTCTGACCATGCGTCCGCACTGAGGTGCTGGGCACTGGGTTTCTATCCTGCGGAGATCACACTGACCTGGCAGAGAGATGGGGAGGAACAGACCCAGGACACAGAGTTTGTGGAGACGAGGCCTGCGGGGCATGGAACCTTCCAGAAGTGGGCAGCTGTGGTGGTGCCTTCTGGACAGGAGCAGAGATACACATGCCATGTACAGCATGAAGGGCTGCCTAAGCCCCTCACCCTGAGATGGGGTAAGGACAGGGATGATGGCAGAGCCTCTTAGGGAAAGCAGGAGGCATTCTGGGCACCTTCAGCAGGATGAGGGCTGAGGCCTGGGGGTCAGGGCCCCTCACCTTCCCTTCCTTTCCCAGAGCCGCCACCTCAGCTCAACATGCTTATTGTGGGAATTGTTGCTGGCCTCGTTCTCCTTGGAGCTGTTGTTGCAGGTGTTGTGATGTGGAGGATGAAGAGCTCAGGTAGGGAAGGGTGAGAGGTGTGGTCTGAGTTTTCTTGTCCCACTGGGGGGTTTCAAGTCCCATGTAGAAGTGTGCCCTGCTTTGCTGTTACAATATACCATCCACACACTCATGCGCTTACCCAGCCTGGGTAAGTGTGTGTGTGTGTGTTAACACACACTTGTGTGCTAACACTCTGTTGTAAACACATGGAAAATGAAGGACAGATTTATCACTGTAATGATCGTGGTGATGGACCTGATTCCCAGCAGTCAGAGGTCAGAGAGGAAGGTCCCTGCTGAAGACAGACCTCCATGAGAGCAGTTGGCCCACTTCCCCTACATCTCCTTTCCTCATGTTTCCTGATTCTGCTCTGAGTCTGTAGTCACAGTTCTGGAAACTTCTCTGGTGTCCAAGACAAGGGGGTTCCTCTGGGACCTGAGAGCCCTACCTCTTCCCTGGCCTCTCATAGGATGTTTTCTTCCCACAGGTGGAAAAGGAGGGAGCTATGCTCAGGCAGCCTGTAAGTATGAAGGATGCTGGTACTTGAGACTGTTGGGACAGTGTAGAGGGGAGCCCATGGGGGAGCTCAGCCATCCCATAATTCCTCCTTTGGCTGCATATGGGCTCTGACCAGGTCCTGTTTTGTTCTATCCCAGGCAGCGACGGTGCCCAGGGCTCTGACAGTTCTCTCACAGCTTGTAAAGGTAAGACCCTGGAGGGCCTGAAGTTGAGGGGAGTAGGGCAGAGGGCCGTGATTGGGTTGTGGGGAATTTTTGATTTGGACATTTTGAGTGTTGTGGGCTGTTCAGAGTGTCACCACGTACAGTGATTGACCTGAATTTGTTTATAATTATTTTCTTCTATAGTGTGAGCCAGCTGCTTTGTGTGGAACTGAGTGATGCAAAACTTGTTCACAGCCCCGTGTTGTGACTTCAAGACCCCTGACTTCTGTTTCTGTAAAGCCCATCTGAATGTGTCTGTGCTCCTGTTAGCATAGTGTGAGGAGGTGGGGAGACCAGCCTACCCCTGCCCACCACGACCCCTTCACACTGACCTGTGTTCTCTTCCCCAGTCATCATTCCTGTTCCAGAGAGGTGGGGTGGGAGGTCTCCATCTCCGACCCAACTTCATTGTTTACTGAGCTGCAGTTTCTTACTTCCCTACTGAAAATAAGAATCTGGATATGTTTGCTTTTTCAAATTGTTGCTGTGAGCGGTTGATGGGTTAATTAAAGAAGGACGAATTTGACAGAGGAAATAAATGGGAACAATGAGAACCGTCTAGAGTCTGTGTTTGCTGTGCTGAGTCTGTTGCAGGTGGGGACAGGGGGAGGCTGTGAGGAGCCGATCGTGGACGGGGTCTGAGCCCTGTTGCTGCTCAGTCCGTCGGGGGCTTCAATGTGGTCAGTCCTTAGCTGGGTCATCTTCACTGTTCCCTTGTACTTGTCCCCTCAGTAGAAACTTGTTCCACCAGGAACAAGGAAGTGTGATCACAGGGACTCGGATATCGCCTGGTCCTTGTCGTGTCCCCAGGACTGTGGGCAGCGAGGGCTGGTGTGGCCAGGTCAGCCAAAGCTCAAGCCTGGCTGGGTCCAGCCCTCTGCTCCCCCATCTTTTGTGTGCTTATATTTTGTGTCTTTGTTTCTATAGAGGATTATGCCTGTTCTTTTTCTTGTGTACCAGTTCTGGTCCCTTTCTCCTCTGGATGTTCCCGTTCTGATAGCAGGAGTCATTTTTCCTGTCATTGTCCTCACGAGGCCCAGGGAGACCCCTGCACACAGGAGATTGTACGGTATCAAGAGATGCATTTTCAGACTCGTCCAGCTCTTGCCCTCCTTCTAGGGCTGTTTCCTGGATTGTTCTTTCCATCTCTCCCCCAACCTTTTTAAAGGAACCAGATTCTGGAATTAACAGAGAGGATGCATCCCATAATTTCTTATCCTAGATAAATTTCTGTTGGAATTCTTCTGCTCTGCTCACCTACCCCGCTCCCTGCCCTCATCTGTAGTAATCCTAGCGCTGCCTCCAGTCCAAACTCATGGATGTGAACAGCAGAGTCAAATTTAGATGTATATTTGGTTGGAAAATTGGACCCATCAGTCAAGGATTGTTCTTTCCTGAAGAGAGAAATATAATTGTGTGCTGGGGTGTGCAGGAGGGCTGGTGTGGGAGAGAGGCACATGAGCAGCACTTGTGAGAAGTGCGCAGGCAGCTTTGATGTCAGATATCAGTGTGAGAGGACGTTGTGCTGTAGGTGCCACAAAACGGCACTTGGCCTGAGACGACATTAATAGAGATAATTGGCTTTAGAATAGGGAGGTGCTCGACAATGATCATTCATTCAGTTGACAGTTGTTGTCTGCCAGATATGTGACATACTGTTTTTGCATCTCAGAAACATCATTGAAGTAAAAACAGTAATTGCTGGCCTTTTGGTGCATGTGTTTGAGTGGGAAGAGACAGACCCTATTCTATAAGTAGAGTAAATGAGGAACGTGATTTTGTTTGAAGATGGTTAGTGGTCTGATCTCAGAAGCTAAGCAGGGTTGGGCCTGGTTAGCACTTGGATGGGAGACCACCTGGGAATACCAGGTGCTGTAGGCTTAAGAGAAAAAGTAAGTGAAGTGGGGAAGGTGATCCAGAGTGTGGTGGTGTGTAGGGACAGGGAACGTGGTGTTTCACTAGGGTGGTCAGTACAATCTTCGTTGCAAAGGTGATGTTTGAGGGAAGATTTGAAGGACATGAGGAATTTATCCATGAGGATGTCTGGGGCAAGTTCTCCCCAGGCAGGGGGAACCCCACTGCAAATGCACTGGGGCAGGAAGATGTATGTGTTCTGGGAAGGCTGGGACAGCAGGAGCAGAGAGTGACAGTGATGAGTTCATAGCTACAGCAACATCACATAGGCCTGGAAGATGTTAGAAGGGTTTGACTTTTCTCTGAGTGAGATGGGGAGTTAGAAGACAGTTCTGAGCAGAAGAGGGACATGGTATGACTTCTCTGGTAAAAGGATCCCTCTGGCTGCTGTGCTGAGAACAGGATTGGGAGTCGAGGGCCAGTGAGGTGGTAGGAAAAGTGTAGGGAACTAGCGCAGTGCTCCTGCCAGAGATGTCGGTTGCTTCAGCCGATGTGAGCAGTGGAAATAGTGGGAAGTGGCTGGATTCTGGATACTTCTGAAGATGGACTTCACAGCATTTCCTAGTGCATGACATCTGGGGTATGAGGGACATGGACATTCTGGACCGTGAAAGTAGAAGGATGGGTGGGGTTGCTGTGAGTGGAGAAGGGGAAGACTGTGGAAGGGGTATATTTGAGGAGAGGACGTCACAGGTGTGCTGTTTATATGTCGAAGCTGAGAGGGCTGTTAGAAATTCAAGTGATGTGTTTGGGTCGATAGTCTGATGGATGAGTCTGGACTTTAGGAGCAAAGTCAGGGTGGAGAAATAGATTTGGGAGGTAAGTGGTATTTAAAGTCTTGATTGAGCACATGGATGAGGTCACCGAGGGAGTGACTGGCTGTAGAAGAGAAAGGGAACAAGGACTGAAACCTGAAGCTGCAGTGCTGAGTGATCTGATGAGACCACATTCTCAGAGCAGAATGCACAGTCCTAACACCGTGTCTAGAATGCATGTAGCCCAGGAAGTCCCAGACATTCCTGTGCATAGGAATCATCTGGAAAGCTCGCTAGCATACAGAGAGTCTGCAGTCAAGCATGAGATTCTGTATTTATGACAAGGTTGGTGCTGATGCTGCTGGTCTGCAGATCCCACTCTAACAGCAGGAACATAGACCAGGATTCCCACATGGTGGTGCATCAGCCTCACCTGTAGGGCTTGTTAAATATGTGATTCCTTGGTCTTAAACATAGTAGTCTGAGATGGTGGTTCTGGGGAGAGGCCTGTGTATTTTCTAAGAGCCACACCAGCAACCCCAAACTCAAACTTAATCCCCTCTATAACTGTTCAGGGTGGGAAATCCTATTATGATAACTAAAAAATGGGCCCTTGAAGAGGTGATTAGATTGTGAGGACCATGCCCAAGTAAATGGATTAATCCTTTTGATGGTTTAATGGTGGTCATGGGTGTGACTCTGAGGGCTTTAAAAGGAGAAGGTCTGAGGAATTAGCACTCTCTCTGCTCCGCCATTCTCACCATGTACACTCTGCCTTTCTGCAGAGTCACCTCACCAGAGATGTTCCCTGGACTTTGGACTTCCCAGCTTCCAAAACTGTAAGCAATAAATATTGTTTCTTTAAAAATTACCCAGTGTCAGGTATGTTGTTATAAACACAGAACTGGGCTTGAGGCTACACAACCAGGAACAGAATGTATAATCCCACCCTGAGTTGGGTCCCACATAGGAACATCTGCCCCTCCTGCTGGGCACAGATGTCACTGTGCACACCACTGATATCCTGATGCTGGACATGGGCTTGAGGCTACACAACCAGGAACAGAATGTATAATCCCACCCTGAGTTGGGTCCCACATAGGAACCTCTGCCCCTCCTGCTGGGCACAGATGTCACTGTGCACACCACTGATATCCTGATGCTGGACACTAGACCCTGCTGCTAGGACTGCTATAGCTGCTGCTTCTGGCAATTTGATGTTGCTATTGCCATTCACACCATCTTTATTTTGGCTGTTATAGGGAACTGAACCCTTGACTTGATGTTATAACACCATCCTCTAACCAAACACTATCTTTTTTTTTTTTTTTAAAGATGACTGGTAAGGGGATCTCAATCCTGGACTTGGTGTTGTCAGCACCACGCTCAGACAGTGAGCTAACCAGTCATCCCTATATGGGATCCGAACGCGTGGCCTTGGTGTTATCAGCACCACACTCTCCCGAGTGAGCCACAGGCCGGCCCCCAAACACTATCTTTACCAAAGTGCATTCTGCATAGTCCCAGCCTATCTGTGTCGCCTTGTCCTGAGTCAGACTCCAGCAAGTGCTCATCTGATTGGTGGAGCTGAAGCCTCATGTCCATGTTCATCTGCAGGAATGACTGGGAGAGTTTCCTCTCCTGTGCAGGGAGGTAGATTCTGTTGCCTAGCAAGACTTTAAGTGTGGAATTCTCTTGACACAGGAAGAGGGTTCAGGTGCTGGAGGGTGAGGGGTGGAAAAAGAATGACAAATTTCAATCTTGAAGCAGTGATATGAGCCCAGAACTTCATCTGGTGCTCTGTAGGCACTCTGTCGTGTTTGGCTGATGAACCAGTGACTAATAAATGACATCTTCCCACTCAGTCCCTTGAGAGTATATTATCAGATCCAGCTGTGTCCATACCATTTTATACTCTACATAACTGAGGGGCACTGTGGGATGGTGAAACTGTCACTCAAAACATCTTCTCGTTGCCTTTTTCTCCTACTGGGATTAAAACACATTGGTCTACAAGACTTCAGAGGGTCTGTGTGTTCACTGATGTTTTATATAAATATTTATATTTCCTTGTGCATGGAAATCTTTCCGGGGAGAGACTCTAACATTTATAAGTTTTCATTGGCTTTTATGTGACCCCTGCAAAGGCCTAAAAAAAAAAAAATCCTAGTTTTCTAGGTTCGATGTAGTACAACTCAAGTTCTGGACCTTGAACAGCTGGTAGCAAACTTTTTAGCAGACCTAGGGACATGATATAAAAGTTTACATTTGCACATTGTTCACTCTGGGATGAGATATGGTAGAATTTACTTGCTTACTCATACTCTTAATTTCTCTCTGTGGGGTGGTGAGAGGTTTTTTTCTCTACCCGACAAATTATCTGATTCTACCACAGTAACTGGGAGGTCTACAATTCAATTCAATTCTCACACAAACTATCTGACTTAGCCTCAGACTCCGTGGGAATAAGGGCTCAGTCCCACAAGACTGCTCTCATTCCAGATGTCAGCCACAAGTATTGGATCCCTAATTATGTGCATCTTTATTTGACTACAAAATCAGGGGTTCCCCACGTCCCCAGGTTGGATAATTTGCTAGAAAAACTCACAGAATGCAGGAAAAGTTATACATACTACGTAGTTTATTGTAAAGGAGACAAATGAGCAGCCACATAAAGAGGTACACAGAGCAAGATCTAGAAGTGTCCTGAGTGCAGGAGCCTCTGTCCACGTGGAGTTGGCGTGCACCACTCTCCCAGCATGTGGTGTGTTCACCAACTTGGAAGTTCTCCAAACCCCATTGTTTAGTGGTTTTCCTGGAAGTTTCATTGTGTAGTCATGATGGGTTAAATCATTGACCATCAGTGATTGAACTCAACCTTCAGCTTCTC